ATTGAGTCTTACTCTTAGTCTTAGGCTGATACTCAGGATTAGATGCATACTTGGTCCTAGATTTACAAGTGCACTCAAGTTCCGGAATTCCGAGGTTCCATAAGCTCTGGAACCGGAACTTGGTGCAATTGACAATATTCGACAGTACAGTTCCAACTCAAATGTCGATGCTTTTCGCGAGGACCTACTTGGACACCAACCTCATTAATAAGGTACTCCAAGGCCATGCCATACCTATTTCTACTTGACCATGAAATCACTTCGCGTGAGATCAACACGAATACAATGAGCATTTCAGTTTCCCCGGAATGAAACCGTCAAAACTAGCCTTAAAACCGAGATAATCGAGCATTTGACGTTTTTCCAGCTCCGATGGACCGATATGTCGATCGGCAAAGCAATCATAGTGGATCAGACGATAGCCAGCCGCGGCTAACGCCTGAGGTCGTGCTTGCAGGGCACGATTGATTAATAATCGACTGGCAGAAAGCATTGTGATGGGCGATTATTAAGTGATGAACGGATGGATGGAGAATTTTGACGATTCAAGTAGACTTGGTAGTAACTCTAGTGGTGGTGCCAATTTCTGGGTGTTTCTATTACAAATACCCTTTAAAGTTATTTTCATTGTTAGTACTCTTATAAAACAGTACATAAATAAAGCTATGCATGGATTCGAACGTACAATTCAGCAGCACATTATAAAGCGATTGGAAATTACACTGATAAATTAACTGCTTGGAAACGATGAAGATACGTTCTATTCATTATTTTAATGACATTTTAATGTTAAGCACTTTCTGAAGCTTCGAATTGACTGTGAGCCTAACTAATCGTGATCGATTGTGTTGCTGATGACAAAATTTTTGAAATAATAATTTTGAAACTTGCAACTTCCTTACGGAATGAGCAATGGAAGCGTGGAACTGGCATCAGCAATTCAATTGATCATTCTTTAATCATTACGAATGAGAAATTACTGAACATCATCATTTAGACTGTAAAGTAATTGACATTGACGTAGACGTGTAAGGCAATGCGATTGAGATGGGAACATATTGCTTGATATGGCACATACGAGCGTGATGTTTTGATTGCGAAGATCAAACAACAACTACACGATGGTTGTTGATTTGAGTTATTGAGAATGATAAGAATGCTGAGTGGTGAAATTATCAAATGGAAATGGACTCGGTGGTTATCAAATTGACTGAAGACGAGTTTTGCTTGATGAGGAAGTGGCGATGCAATTCCACAATTCACAGCTGTACCATAAATAGTTGCGAATTAAGCAAGAGCAGCCGAGCACCATTTTCTTATTTCAAATCATCATTTTACGAATATCTTTGGAGCATCTTGACTTTGTCGCACTAATATTGAAAATGATAACTGACTTATTTATTTAAAATGACTTTAAAAATCCACTCGCATGTTATTTAAATGATTTAAGTTATTTATCAACAGATGTGCGCAACAACAATAATTAGTGATACCTACTGCTTAACGGCTCAGCTGATCGCTTTTTGACGCTGTAGCCAGTATCATCTTCAGGTTAGAGGCTACAATAGTGAATTGAACTCTACTGAGCAGTTAGATGACTTCTAGGGTGCAAAATCTCAACTGGTTTCATTTCTTTCCAAAAGTGAGAATATCACAAAGTCGCCTTGTACACTTGTACAACGACGCACTTGTACAAGAAGAGCTTCAGTAGATGTTCAAGAGTTGATAGAATCGGTTGGTCTGATCGCGGGAGAACAATGAATTTGAGTGAATGGTGCAATCGATTGTTATGAAACGCACACATTTTGAAGAGCAACAATTTGCATGAATCTTTCTAGACCAATCTCGCAAAGAAAAACGAAAGCAAAAACAAGTCAATATTCCAATAAACAACATTAGAATTATCAATAATCTTGCTCGAACAAGGTATCACAATTTTATGACGATCACGAATAAAGAGAAACAAATACGTCGCTTTCTCTTATTGTTAGTGTTCTTAACACTCAATTAATGGTGACAGAAAATGAAACTAGAAAAGTGAATCTATGAAATTTTCATTTCGGAATGGAAATTTCCAACTCTTTGAACAAAAGTCAACTTTTGGGTGGAAACAAACACAGATGAATTGGATCGTCACTGTCTTGTCATATCATAGAAATAATAATTTTGTTGCGAAAACAAATAAATAATTCCGGTTTATGAATGATCAATTTATTAACATCATCAACGAGAGCAACTTCTGCCCACTTTCTGACATTTACTACCGCGTCAAAAAAGTGGTATCGAAAATCAAACTGAAGACTATAAAATGAAAACAAAAATGAATGCGAAGCTGTGACAACGTGAATG